TTCCATTCTGCAGTGCAAATTTAAGATCTTTAATTTCCTCCTTTAAAGATCCTTTGTTGTGAGGAACATTGAAATATCTGCTGTATGTGACTCCTGTGCCGTCACGCTTTAAAAATGCGCCCTTTTCTTTGCTAAAAACTAAGGTCATGGCATCCGTGCCCGATTCAACATTTAGGTGTCCATCTTTTATCTACTTTTCATGTTCCACTTAACACACAAAATATGATTAATTATTGTCCTAAAACAACTGACACAAATCCTTAAAGTAAAAATATTAAAAAAGTTTAGTGAAGTTACTAGTTTATCTGCCATGAATTTAACATTTTCATCTTTAAATTCTCCTTCTTTACTTTCACATACTTTACACCACATAATTGACCTTGGGGGCATTTCTTCCTATGAAATCACTTTCTCATCAATCTTGATAAACAATTAGATTATAAACAGTATAAAGCAAAATCCTGTTAACTACAATGCTAAGTTAATATAATCGGATCATATAGCTAAAGACCAACCTTACCAACTTCCGCCTTAGAGTCGTATACCCCCATCGTCCCATCCGATGAGCATACTTTGACATCTTTCGTGCTTTGATAATCCTTTGTAACACAACCTATCAAAAAAATATTAATAAAGGATTTATTAAGCACATTTTGGTAATTATATGATAAATAAATGAAGAAGTTTTTGTAAGATTGCGTATATGTCACGAATTTGTTCCAAAAGTGTGCATGTTAACGAACGAAGATTTTTGCAAGCTTTTTGGGATTACCTAGATGTGGCTTGATGTAATCTATATACAATTTCCTTCTGAAGTTCCATAAAAGGATACCAAGCCTATTTATCACAAACTGTATTCTAGTTTCATCAACTTCAAAAAAGAGCTAAAATGAAAAATAATAATATGTTAGTAATACATGATTTATAAATATAATATGAGATTCAGTTAATAACAGTGAAAATAGTATTTCTTGTAATCTCTTTCCCTAGTTTCTATTTCAATTTCGGGGTTACTTTCTTCTAGCCTAAAGCACTTAATCCCACTTTCTCTCGGACACGATCTCCCAAATAGCTAACAAAAAGTGCATTATTTTTACCCGAAAACTTACCCAATTCATCAAACTTCACACGTTTTTGTTGCCACCAGAAGTCACATACTCAATCTTTAGTTTTGTCAATCGAGTCATGCCCCTCTTTCTATTTGATCTTGTAGAAACTGGGTTTTGGTTATCTTCGCCAGAATCTGAATTGCTATTGTACTCAATGTCGTGTCCTTCCCTATCTTTGGTGTCTCAATCATGCACTTGTGTTTCATCATCTTACTCATATTCTAGATCATACTTGGGGATCCTCATGTTGTTGGTTGTTCACCTGCATGATTCTTTGGTTGACATGAAACATAGGAAACAATTTTGATTAGTGGTATGTTAAACGAAAAGGTATGAGTAACATATAATACTGAATTTTTTTTTCAAAAAAGCATTTCATCAAACACTTGGTGTGTAACAACCACAGTAATATGAAGAATGAAAATTTTCGTTATTTATGTATAATACACCAATCAATATAATCAAGAACATTGACATCATAAACAAATAGTATACTTTCAGTTGAATTCGTAAAAAATGCATACTTACTAATGTTGATTGGTCAATTTAGAAATGATAAAATTCTAGAATAAATCAATGTGATTTAAATAATATAAAATTAGTACACCACAAACAGAGGTTTGTTACCAAAATTACCGAAAATTCCTTGATCCCATGGAATGATCTTCATAGTTTTGGCGGTGAGATAGATGAAAACTTTCTGCCTTGATTTGGAGCCAAAAAATGATATGGAAATAGGTTTGCCTCCCATTGTAGTTGCGTAATTTGCTTAACATATTCAAATCTTTTATAGTTTTTGATCTGACCCTATACCAAGAGAACCGTAATTTTTTTTGGAAACATGGACTTCTGGAAATTGAATCCTTATAGATGCGTTTTTTTATTTTAATATAAATATTACATATTTGATCCTTGTATATTAATAGTTTTACTTTAAGATACAATTATATGAGTATTGGAAATAAAAAATATGTAACATTCAATTTTATATATATATATATATATATATATATATATATTATATATATATATATATAATAGGAACAATTTATAATAAATTTATACTTTAAGATCCAACCCTAATTCACATGTACCAGTAACATACCCAGTTGTAAACGACCCATACAGGTACCTCATATATCCAAACCTAACTCACCTGTGTCACTAACCTACGCATATACAGCCGACCCATACAGCTAAATCATACATCCAACCCTAATTCACCCAGACCAATAACCTACCCAACTGTAACTGGCATATACAACTAACTCATACATCCAACCCTAATTCACCTGGACCACTAACCTACCCAACTATAATCGGCCCCTACAACTAACTCATACATCCAAACCCTAATTCACCTGTGCCAATAACCTACCCAACTCTAAGCCATACAACTAACTCTTACATCCAATCCTAACTTACATGTGCCACTAACCTACCCAGCTGTATCTGGCCCATATAGCTAACTCATACATCCAACCCTAATTCACTTGAACCACTAACCTACCCAACTGTAACCGGCCTATACAGCTAACTCATACATCTAACTATAATTCACCCGGACCACTAACCTACCCAAATGTAATCGGCCCATACAAATAACTCATACATCAAAACCCTAATTCACCTGTGCCAGTAACCTACCCAACTCTAACCAATACATCTACCTTATACATCCAACCCTCATTCACCCGTGCCACTTACCTACCTCGCTCTCTAACCCATACACCTAACTCGTACATCCAACCCTAACTCACCTGTGTCACTAAACTACCTATATGTAATTGGCCCATACAACTAAATCATACATCCAACCCTAATTCACCAAGACCACTAACCTACCTAACTGTAACTGGCCCATACAACTAACTCGTACATCCAACCCTAATTCACCCAGACCACCAAGCTACCCAACTGTAACTGGCCCATATAGCTAACTCATACGTCCAAACCCTAATTCACATGTGTTACTAACCTACTCAGATCTAACCCGTACAACTAACTGATACATCCAACCCTAACTCACCTGTGCCACTAACCTACTTAGCTGTAATCGTCCCATTCAGCTAACTTACACATCCAACCCTAATTCACCCGAACCAGTAACCTACCCAACTGTAACTGACCCATACAACTAACTAATACATCCAACCCTAATTCACCCGGACCACTAACCTACCCAACTATAACCAGCCCATACAGCTAACTCATACATCCAAACCCTAATTCACTTGTGCCACTAACCTACCCAACTCTAACCCATACAACTAGCACATACATCTAACCTTAACTCACCCGTGCCACTTACTTAACCAACTCTAACCTAGACACCTAACTCATACATTCAACCCGAACTCACTTGCTCCACTAACGTACCCATATGTAACCGAACCATACAACTAAATCATACATCCAACCATAATCTACCCGGACCACTAACCTACCCAACTGTAACTGGCCCATATAGCTAACTCATACATCCAAACCCTAATTCACCTGCGCCACTAACCTACCAAGCTCTAACCCATACACCTAACTCATACATCCAACCCTAACTCACCCGTGCCACTGACCTATCCAGCTCGAACCCATACGCCTAACTCATACATCCAACCCTAACTCACTTGTGCCACAACCTTACTCATATGTAACTGCCCCATGCAGCTAAATCATACATCCAAGCCTAATTCACCCGGACCACTAACCTACCCAACTATTACCAGCTCATACAACTAACTTATACATCCAAACCCTAATTCACCTAGACCACTAACCTACCCAACTGTAATCGGTCCATACAGCTAACTCATACATCCAAACCCTAATTCACCTGTGCCACAAACCTACCCAGCTCTAACCCATATAGCTAACTCATACATCCAACCCTAACTCACCTATGCCACTAACATACCAGTTGTAACCGACCAATACGGCTAACTCATACATCCAACCCTAATTCACCCGAACCACTAACCTACCCAATTTTAACCGGCCCATACAGCTAACTCATACATCCAACCCTAATTCACCCGGACTACTAATGTACCCAACTGTAAGCGGACCATACAACTAACTCATACATCCAAACCCTAATTCACCTGTGCCACTAACCTACCCAGCTCTAACCGGCCCATATAGCTCATATTTGATCTCAAATTTATTAATATAAAAGTTTAATCTCAAATTTATTAGTAAATTTGTAATTCTGTTTTTCAATAAATCCCATATGTAGATATATAGTAATATACAAATTAAAAAGTAATTTTTAAATTACATGGTTACCTAAAAAACATAAACAATAATGAATATGAAAATTACTTAATATTATAATAATATATTATACATATGTGTGTGTGTGTGTGTGTGTATATATATATATATATATATATATATATATATATATATATATATATAATCATCGCCGTCGGTCGAACTACTCCTCCTCTGCAATTAGTCGAAACTGAATGATGATACTCTGCGTCAATGTTTCTTCAAATGCGATTCATGATCCCTATAAACCCTGCGGCTATATGAAAATGTTCATTCTCACACTTGGTAGACACGAACCTTGATCACCAACCGACGATCATTTAAAAAGGAAAAATTTCTTGATCGATCAATGGGAGGACAGACGAGCACCGATCACAACTCCAATTGTGCAATATTGGAAAGATAATGATAACAGAATAACGATTAGAGTGGTTCATGGAAGAAATTTTAACGATTTTTGCAGGTACATCCTATGTAAAAACATCAGTAGGATATATTACTTGGATCAACATCGAATTTCTAGACATGAAGTTGCTAGGAAGATTTTCTAAAAGTTTGGGTTATGAAACTTTTGGTTAGTGGTATTATATGCCAACTGAAGAGCATTAGGGGTTGACCATGATCCCTATTATAGATGAGAATGTGTTGGGAAATTTCAAAATGATGGCTAGGGCACAAAAATTTCATGAAATTAAACACTTGTATGTAGAGCACAAGACTAAAACTGTGCCAATGAATTTCCCTCACCACTTGATGAACTCACCATCGAAGAGGATAGAAAGGTTTATCCATCTCTTGGTTACAGAAGACCCAAGAGTAACAGTTGATGATGGAATTGCATACATCAAGCAAATTCTGAACATGACAATTCCAGGAGAAAAGATTGAAGATGTGATGGACATTGGCTAAAGAGAATGTCATTGCATGGAAAATGTTGTAATGTAGGCAACTTTAATATTTTTTTAGTTTAGTTAGCTTAATCGTTATTAATATGATATATATGCTATGAAAATGTGGATGTAACACAACATCTAATATTGTAGTTATTTTGAAACTCTTTTTTCCTTACGGTAATATAATATCAATGTACTTTGGTTTTAATTCACAAATTGTCAATATTTTATTATGGTAGTATACTTTGTAGCTACAATTGGTTTAAACACGTAATCATAAAGAACTGAAGTGCAGTGGTGTCTATAATAAGGGTTACTATAGTAAAGTGAACATTTTTTAAATATGGTACAATAATTTGAATTTAACCATTTACCTATTTAATTTTTATTTTAATTAATTATCAGTAGAAAGGTAATTTTTTTAATTAAACAATTTAAGATAGAAAGTAAGCAGGGTTATAATTGTCTCTTTTTTTCAAGTCAGGAGAGTAAGTACAAAAGGTATAGAAAGTTTTTGATAGTAAGTGTAATCAGGGTATTTTTCTCTTTTATCTTTTTTATTTTAAAACAAAGAGATCAATTAAACATTTTAAGATGGAAGGCAAGCAAGGTATAAGTGTCTCTTTTTTTTCAAGTCAGGAGAGTAAGTAAAAAAGTTAAAGGAAAAATTTTGATAGTGAGTGTAATTAGGGGTATTTTTGTTTGTTTTTTTAATCTTAAAACAAAGAGATCAATTAAACAGTTTAAGATGGAAGGCAAGCAGGGGTATAATTGTCTTTTTTTTTTCAACTCAGGAGACTAAGTAAACAGGTTAAAGAAACATCTTTGACAGTGAGTGTAATCAAGGGTATTTTTGTCTTTTTTGATTTTTATTTTAAAACAAAGAGATTAATTAAACAGTTTAAGATGGAAGGCAAGCAGGGGTATAATTGTCTCTTTTTTTTAAAGTCAGGAGAGTAAGTAAAAAAGTTAAAGAATTTTTTTTGACAGTGAATGTAATTAGGGGTATTTTTGTCTTTTTTGATTTTTATTACCAAATATAATATGTAATAAGTATTTATAGTCTTCTTTTATCATATCTAAATATATTACGTATTAAAACGCAGCCTAGTTGGTCAATGAAGATGGATTTACGACATATTTATTCTGGAAGATTGTGGGTTCGAAGCTCACTTACAAAAAGTTTTTTTTTTTTTTTTTTTTTTTTTTTTTTTTTTTTTTAATAATTTACATGTTTGTTAACTCTGTTACACACTAGATAATATCTTTAAGTAATTCCTTCATCATTACGTAATTTCCTGCATATATTTTCCTTTTTTGTTCGATATATCGTTGATGATCCATACCCATTGACTGAATATGCGTATTCATTCAATATGATCTTTCTTTGAAGCATTCTTTGGTCAATACAAACTCGTTGTTAATACAGAATAACTTCCATACAAGACATTGATACAGGTACGCATACATAATATTTGTATATGTTCTTCAACGACATAAAAAACAACACTTAATAGAAGAATTTTTGATATTTGGTTTGATAATAAATTTAATTAGTATGCATATATGCTATAATCTACAGTTAACGTTGAATTGGATTCCATGAATTGGATTTATTTATTATATTTTGTTATTCCTTTATGTACATAAACTGTTTGATAAAAAACATCATTGAACAACTGATCTTAATTGCTAAATTCATGTGATTATTGTAGCATCAAAATGGATAAGTCTTGGATGAGATCATAAAGAAACACAGACACTTATATAAAAGGTGTTGCAAATTTTTTGAAATATGCAGTATGCAATTACAAGATTCCTAAGAATATCGATCCTTTAGATACCAAAACAAAGATAAAAATTACATGTCCATGTATAAAGTGTGTAAATGACATATCTCGTTCAGTTGATGTGGTAGATTCTCACCTATTCAGTAATAGAATTGACCAAACCTATATGAATTGGACTAAACATGGAGAAAAAGAGGAACCACCAAGTAATTATATTTATATAAAGGATTTTGCCATGGGGACATCATACGGTGTTGAACACACAAACTTCACAAGTGAAATGCCAATAGATGCTGCAGAATCAATGGAGATGGTTGAAGCTACAGAAGATGATTTCATTGGGGACCCTGACAAGTTTAGAGAACTACTAGATGATGCTGAGAAGCCCCTATATAAATGATATCTTAACTTTACAAAGTTATCTGCAATCACCAAACTACTCAACTTAAAGAGTAAGTATGGAGTATCAGATAAGTGCTTTACATAATTATTAGTGTTGATAAAAGTATGTTACCAAAAGGAAACGAAATGTACAGTAGTACATATGAGGCCAAGAAAGCATTCAAAGCATTGGGTTCAGTGTATACAAAGATACATGCATGTGTCAACAACTGTATAATTTACATGAACGAATACAAAGACACCACAAGATGTCCCACTTGCGGTAAATCAAGATAGAAGGATGATGAAGAAAAAAATAAAATTTACAAGAATATTCCAGCAAAAATGTTGTGGTACATTCCAATAATTCCACAAATGAAACGACTATTTCAGTCAAAGACTACTGCAAAAGATTTAACATGACATGCACCTGATAGAAATATGGAAATCGGTGTTTTACGTCACCCAACAGATTCACCAGCATGAGCTACCATAGATGAGAAGTTTCATGACTATGCTAGCGAACCAAGAAATTTGTGTCTAGGCATTTCGGTTGATGGGGTGGATGTGAATAGAGGAAATATGAATCATAGTGTATGACCTATTTTAATCATCATTTACAACCTTCCCCCATGGTTGTGTATGAAGATAAAGATTATCATGCTTTCGTTATTAATACCAGGAACACCAAGAAACAATATTGATGTTTTCCTTGCACCTTTGGTTGATGATCTACATATATTATTTGATAATGGAGTTGAAACATATGTTGCATATGGACAAGAAAGGTTTAATCTACGTGCAGTTGTGTTATGGACGTTTAATGATTATCCTGCTCTTGGTACATTATCTGGTTGTCCTTACAGTGGGTTCAAAGGATGTGTTATGTGTGGCGAACAAACACACTGTATTAGACTCCCTGAATCAAATAAGCAAAGTTATGCTGGTCACAGATGATATCTACCGTATGACCACCCGTTAAGAAGACAAAAGATGGCGTTCAATGGAGAACAAGAGCTCTTACCATCGCCAATACCTATGACTGGGGAGGAAATATATAACAAGGTCAAATTTATAATTAATAAATGGGGAAAAGTATCTAAGGGAAATCGATCAAAATTCCAACAATCATCTGCTAGTAGAAGTGGGAAGATACCAAAAAAGAGAAAATCAAAGCAAGTGGATAGTTCAGATGTTAGCCAACAAGATATCACATACTAGAAGAAATTTAATATACCGTATAGACGGTAGAGGTATTTGCAACACAATTTGATTCCATATTGTTTAGATTTTATGCACATTACAAAGAATGTGGGATAGAGTCTAGTAAGAACAATGTTGAACATTCCAAGGAAGATGAAAGATGGTTATAAATTTCGATTGGATTTTGTGTATTATAGGTTAAAACCAGAGTTTCATCCTAAGAAAGACAGGAACACCAGCACACTCCCCCAACAGGTTGCACATTGACAAAAGAGGAAAAAGACAAGTTCCTAGACACTTTTTCTAGTTTGGTGAGTCTGAAGGAAAAGAAGCTGACCGGACTCAAGTCACATGACTATCACATGATCGTGCAACAATTTTTCCCATGTCAATTCGGTATATTATGCATCCACCCACCAGAGCTGCTATTTCCAAGTTATGTTTCATTTTCAATACAATATGTAGCAAAGAAATCAAAGTGAATGAGCTCGATGAGTTACAAGAAGAGTTATGTGTGACCTTATGCCTTCTTGAGAAACAATTTCCACAATCATTTTTTGATGTGATGATTCACTTAACCGTTCATCTTACTAGAGAAGTAAAATTATGTGGTCCAATATTCTTTATATGGATGTACCCGTTCGAGAGTTATATCAAGGTTATTAGGGGGCACGTGCGAAACAAAAATAGACTAGAAGGCTGCATTGCGGAAGAGAATGTTGCAGAAGAGACGATTAAGTTTTTTAGTGAATTCATAAAAAACATGTATACTGTTGGCCTTCCACCTGAGAAGCATAACACAAGTATTGGAATTCGAAAAGGTGAAGATACGGATGGCACTACTCTATCAGCTGCTAAACTAGTAGAAGTTTCTCCACTGCTCTTCAGCAAAACACATTTCATTGTATTGCAAAATACATCTGATGTACTTCAATATATTAAGTAAGGTTTTTACATGTATGTAATTTTTTTGTTATTGTACCCTATTGTGTTCTTTTCATAATAATATTTACATATGTACAGTCGACACATGGATTTTTTGCGACAAAAACAACCGACTAAACGAAAAGCACAACTAGAGAAGGAGCACAATGATATATTTGGGTCATTGGTTACGACAAGAGGTATTTTATTTTCATATATATTATTTTTTCCATTAATTTATTGGGGATGAGCATAACCGGTCCTAAGTCGCATCCTAACACATTGAGTGGCTGTTATAGCAATGTACTAAGGCATTTAGTTTCTAATACTTTCTTGCTAATCATTAGGCATTTCCTTATATCTTAAATTCATATTCTAATACTATTCAAGTAGAGAGGGAGTTACGGGTCTGCAGAGAAAGTGTAACAGAGACAATGAGATGTATTTCTCATGGACCAAACAAAAACATTATTAAATACAATGCATATGCTATCAATGGTTATACTTTTCGTACAAAAGCTCATGAAAGAAAATTTTACCAAGACAGTGGGGTTAGTGTCATTGCAACTGGCACACACATTAGTAAAGAAGTTGTAACGTATGTCTAAAACACTTATTATGGTGTTTTACAAGAAATATGGGTACTTGATTATCAGTTTAAACAAATTCCAATTTTCATGTGTGATTGTGTTGACAATAAACATGGGGTGAAGAAGGA